CGAGTATATTACATTTTAAAACTAATATATTTAAAAGAAGATTTAGTGAAGGTTGTCTAATATTGTTAAACAATAAAGCAATCAACAAGAGAGTTGACATCTGTTCGATCTGTAATGATTACAAGATATTCCTCGACTATTTTACAAACAATATTATTACTGAATGAAGCGTGTCCCTTTTTTATTACTTTCCGAAACCATATGTTTTTAAAAGTTTGCACATTAAAAAAAAATCTTTCTAAACACAATTCATTCAACGCTTAAACTTCAACAACTACATACACAAATTTAGTTTTCTAACTCTAATTCATAATTAGTTTTAAATGTTTGAACTACTGATATCTTGGTGTTACGTTACAATTGCGTAAATTTGTGCAGTGTAGTGTTAAATTGCTTTTGACCGTAGGTACCTATCTTTAAGTGCAATATGTTGTATCAATTTTCTTTTTTAAATTGATTATAAAAAAACTTTTTAGTTTTCCACTGAATTACGGTCTCGATGAAGACTGAAACATATGGTGATATTGCCTGACTCAACACACTCATTTTAAATATATATATATATATAATATATATATATATATATATTTTTATATATATATAATATTATATATATATATAATGACATTCATATATCAATAATTAGATTTACTAAGTAATTCTGACTTTAATCTTTATTTTAATCTCATATAGAGATCAACATTTTACAAACACTTAGCTTTTACAAATACTTATAAAATCATCGCTACATTCCCATGATAAAATCACATTATCTTTAGTTACAGAAATGTTAATATAATGAATGTCACATCCATGTTTATGTCTTGCCTTATTTCAGTTGTTCACACCTTTCTCTTATGAATATGATAAACAATCTTAAAACCATAAGTGAAGTGAAATATTATCTTCTAGCAAAACGATTTAAGTAATCCCTCACTTTATTTTCAAATTCTTTTTGTCCTTGCTATACATTTTTGCTGCATCGGTATTAAGAGGATCTTCAAAATTAAGAGATCCTAGTAAAGTAAATAAAAATAGTTGTTTACCAGAATATGAGTTTTCAAAACTACAAAACATTACAGTATATATATATATATATATATATATATATATATATATATATATAATATATATTTGTATGTGTGTGTATGTGCGTGTATATTAAAAAAGTCTAATAATCGGGAATAATAATATCAATAAAAAACATACATTTCTTTTACAATCTATATGTTTTGGCTATAATCCTTACTTTAATTCAGTAAAAAGTAGAAACTAAAAATATATTAAACTAATTGACGTTGAAAAATTAAAAGAGTTTGCTAACAGCTACAGAAAATTCAATAATCCATGATATGAGGATATGGTAATGTGCTACACTATGTAATAAACATAAACATTGCCAACTTGTATTATAACAATATTTCACAATTATGCTAACATTAAATTATAACAAAAGATTAAGTGCGCAATATATGTGTTATCTGTAAACTAGTTGGAGACATAATGAAGAAAGGATTTATAAAAAAGATATTTTTACCAAGATTCTAACATGTGCGGAACTAATAGTGTTTTTGCACATTTTTTATTGTTCTGTAAAAATTGGTATTACTATCTAGATATATGATGTTTGTTGAACGCAATTTTTAGTTTCTACTTAATGAAGGCTAGGATTGTAGCCAATACCTAAATAAAAAAATTGTGTTTTATTAATGATATGCCCAATTATTAAAGTTTGTTAATACATATATCAACATCAAATTCAGAATTATATATTTTTACATAAATAAATCTATTAAAACCATTCAAATATAAAAATATTGAAACATTTAAAATAAATTAATACATATATAAATTTTATATTACTTAATATATAAACAAAATTACCGTAAATAGTGAATTTAGGCCCCATATTACATCTTTGAGTGTTCGTGTTGGTGCCCAACCTAATCCATCAATTGAATTTTGTCGGAGCAGGGATAAACAAACATCACCTTCAACAGTTATATTTGGATGCCAAAGCTTTGTTGCACATTTAACTATAGGAGGCTAAATATTTAACATTTAGAAAAAACTCATATTAATACCGCTCACACATATTAAAACACAACTTTGGATGAAAACCTACAGCTATATTATATTCCTCTGTAACGACAACATCAAATCTAAATTTTCCACCTTGCCAAAATCCTTCATCGGGGCACACTGTGAGGGTAAATTCACTTAATATGTCTGGATCTAAAAATGATAAAAAAACACTTATGTATAATAAAATGAACACAACTTTTAATGAGATTACAAATTTTAATTATCATAGCAGAATGCATAAGTCTTTTATATTTTGAATTATAATTCGATTATATTTAAATTAGAAAATGTAATTTTTACCACTAAATTCAACACGGCATGTACAAGGCATGTTTTGCTCCATTTCTTGTATATCTTTAACTAAAAGTTGATCCCTTATTGAAATTCTTTTTGTCGTGGAAAGGGAAGAAGAACCCGTGGAATAATCATTTGTGGTTGAAGAAGGCTCATTTCTCTGTGTACTCTCTTTCTTCAGTTTTGGTTAAAGTTATCATACTCTTTTATATTTATAATAATCTAAAATTAACTGCAAAAAAATTTGATCTTATAAACTTTTGATTTTATGTTGCAACTTGATAAACAAACACAAATATTTAATATAACAAAATTCCAAGGTATACCTATCAATAAACTATTACTAAATATAATCACAACACAATTTTATTAACGCTAAAAGCAACTTTTATTTTTTACAGTCGTCGCCAGCTGAAAATTTCTTTTGACATTTCGTAACTCATACCATAGATAGTCAACATACATTAATAATACAGGACGATACTGAGCGAGCGCTAATCATGCTCTTGAATTTAAAAAAAAGCGCGCTAATAATGATTTTGAATTCTTATCTGCATTATAATTTATTGTTAGATATTTATTTCTCTCATCTCAGCACTTGTTTGTTATATTTTGAAGCACGGCATCTTTCATAGGAGAAATTTATGTTTTGCCAGAAAATCCGAATTGCTTGCTCGACGTTTCAAGTGATTCTGAATCGTTTACTTAAATTGAAAAAAAAGCCGAAGTTTGAGCTGTCGTCTACGTTTTCTAAAGAAAAAACTGAACTGATTTCAAAGATCTAAAAGTCGTACAATGATACTCGCATTGAGATTTGCCAGGCCGTTTCTTCTCAAATGTTAAAAAATTTAATGAAACACTTTATAATTTATGGCCTAAACCAAAGATGAGCAATCAGCGGCCCACCAGATGTTTTTCTGCGGCCCGTCTAGCGTTTCTCAACTACAGATTTTCTAGATATTTTATCACATACGGCTGTAAAGGCTAATTCTGTTGTCAGTCAAATACTGGTAAAAACTGTTGTTTGCAGAAATAGCATTTCCTGATAAAATAAATATTAATTTAAATATTAGCTTAACAATATTGCTAGAAAAATTGAGAACTTGTCCGAGAACATAGCCATAACGCATTTCCAAATTTGAAATAAATAAGTATGTTTTATAAAATCACCGTAAATTTAAAGTATTCCTGAACAATTTAGAGCGTATATATAGAGATGATTGTAGTACTTTCGTCATTTTGGTAATGAAGAATAATATCTTCTGCAGAATCTTGTGTTTCGCTTTCCATATTTAGAAAAAGAAAATGTGAACAAATTTTAATTGTGATTCCAAATGTTCAAAGCTAGCAAGACAGCTGTTTTCTTTGCCATTTAACGTCGATGTAGGTACACTTTATGAAAAACCATCACAGAAAGTGATCTGCATTAAAAATAATACAGATTAAAAAAATTTACTTTTCAATAAACATCGAAATTTTTTAAAAAACTCATGTCAGCTCTAAGAAATTTTTATTTTTGAAAAAAAAAAACGCAAAGAAAATTATGATAAATTTGGAAGTAAGTGTGCGCGCCAACAATTACACAGGTCCACAAAAGAAAAGTCGATGGAAAATAATTAATTCATTTAGAAAAATGTATAGACTATATATTTATCTTCAGCGGTAAAAGGTACATTGGAAAACATATGTCACACACCCAATCCAGACAAACTCTGTTTTACATGCGGCCCACCATAAATTTTAAAATTTGAATTGGCCCGTGAGTTAAAAAGATCTCTTTCTGTTATTGCATTGGAGAGCCTAGAACAGAAATAAGCAATTGTTCAAGTATTATGTACTTGATATTAGCCTTACCAGTGCATACAAAAAAAAAAAAAAAAAATTAGCAAGAAAATTTTATTTAAACCATTACACTACATCAGTAAATACAATACTACATTATAATAAAAATTAGAACTTACATAATATATTAGAAATGTGTCTTGGTAACACAACAAAAGTTGGCAAATTGTTAATTATTATAGAAATTACAACAACCAAAAAGAAAATAACATATATGGTAAACTAATTTCATAGATTATTTATATAAATGTACATGTCAATTTTAAGAATAATTACAAAACATTTCACATAGTGTAGATAGAATTATCATAATTATAATGTACAAAGTTCATAAACATCCCCATAATTTTGTTTAATATATTCAATGAAATTCTGTTATTTAATTGAGTAATAAAATCCATTTACAGGTAATATATGCAAATTAAGAAAGTAAGGCATGTGATTATATTGTAAGAAATTTTCTATACGTCTGTATCAATAATTAGTTAATACAAATATACTGCCAAATTTACACGGAATTATTCCAAAAAGTAGGTCCTGCATTCAAAATGGCATTAATTTATAAATACCTATTACTAAATTCTAGCAACAGGTATTATTATGCAATGTTAGATTTGGTACCAATTTATCTACGCTTGACGGCCTGCCATCATCACCATCAGAAGACTGTGTATTGTCATTTGCTAAAAATGAAATTAGCAATTAATAAAATCAACTTTTGTTAATTTACTGAGTTAATACCTTTTTCATTCCTTGCATTTGACCTAAGCGGAGGACCATCAGTTCTTTTGGCATTCCTGTGATTTTGTGGCGGATCTCCAATCACCGCCATCAGTTCTTGCTGCAGGACGGTCTCGTTCATTGCGCAATGATGGACCAAGTCTATCTCGATCCTAAAATTATTTCGTTTAATTTGTACAAAAATTAGGAAAGATAATCCTCAGGTCATATCATATAAATTATAAATTAATATTAGAATGATTGCAACAGTACTTATAAAAAAGTTATTTCACCAACTTCAAATTGTCTGAACTTACTGGTATTCGTCTCATGGGCCTGGCATCATCATCATTTTTATTATTGGCTCCTCGTTCATTTTCGCGATCCATTCTCCAATCTCGGCCGCCACCACCACCGCCAGTTTCTCTATCGCGATCATGATCTCGTTTCATTCGATCGTCTCTTCGTTCAAATCTTCGTTCAGAGTCCCGTTCAAACCGACCACTTGATATAAATAGAAAGAAGTCTTAATTTTTTTGGTATGCCTAGATTACTAAGTCGCTTATGTAATAGCTTCAATTATTATTTCAATCAATTATTTTCTTAACACTAAATCAGTTACACAATCCATACACAATTTACTAAAATATGTTTTTACCTAATCAAAGACATTAAGGACATTAATTTTGACGGTCTGGATGGATTATTAGTATAACTATGTGGATTATACAGAGTCATATAATAATCCATTAAGTGTTGTATGGCCATATGCATGGTGTAAATGAATGGTAAATAAATATTGTTTTCTTGGTGAAATACATATTAAAAAAATTACTCTTACCCTTCTTCTGGGCCACGTCTATCCCGCTCATCTCTATTTCTAGGTTGATATCTGTCTTCCCTGCGTTCAAATCTACTAGAATCTCGATTTTCACGATCATTATCTCTCTGCCCATATCTCGATCTCCAGCTCTAAAAACAAATGAAGTTTTAAATAAAATTTAAAATGTGTAGAAA